AAAGCTGCCTCTGCTGTTAGACACACTGGACCCTGTGCTATTTTTAGGTGAAATTACAATTACTTTGACTGTGTTGTTTATTTGCAAAACAAACAGGTTAAAGATTGGTACCTCAACACAAAGCCACTCTTAGCTGAATAAATACTGACTGACCTATCTTCATTTTGGTCTGTAATGAAGCAGGACTACAGTTCTGCTGTGGAGCTATACTGCCACACATGTCTCATCGGATTGCTGTGGTAAGTACGCCAGCTGTGCAATGCTGTCTTTGTTTCCCATCAGTACAATGATTTATTCTCCATTTCAGATGCACACTGAGGCACACTTCATATTCTCTGTCCTGCTGAGAGGAAATTAAGTTAACACTCATTTCACTGAAAGAGTTTGATTCATACACAACTGTCTCATTCATTAATTTTAAGTATATTTACAAATTGTAATGGTTTTGAGATTTGTTTCATTTTTCAAGCATTGTTTACTTGTGTGGTTGTCAATACAGATGTATCCGCAAGGTCTTTAAACAGTTCTATCAAGGAGCAAGGTTCATTTCTACAGCAAAAATGCCTCTAAGATGACCCATTCACTGCATATCTTTGTAACTGTTCTTTACAAAGAAACAAAACATATTTACGTTAGTAGAGGATAACCTTATCTAATTACTCAAAAACTTAAATATTGATTTGTCTGAACATTATCATAATATCTAACCACCTATTTGTAAGAGAAAAGTCAAAGTCAACATTACAGATGACAGCACAAATTTCCCATTGTGAACATCCATTTGATTTGGAAAGCCACTTTCAGGTCCATCTTTGATCCTCTGTACTTTACGTCTTGCCTGCACACATGCGGCTTTAGTTTCAGATATTCTTGGTCAGTTATTCATTTGAACATTTCCTTCAATATGCTATGCATTTCACCAACAATATGACATCTGACAACATCGTAATTCTTACCAGTACCCTCCCCCAATGTTTTTTTTCAGTTGCTTGACAGATAGTAAGCTGGCTCTGCACACACCTGTCCCTGAATGTGTGAACATATTCCTTTCCCCAATTCCCTGATAGGAGTTAAACATTGCATGTGGTATTCTCTTCTCACCTTTCATTGTCTTTGCTATTTGGCGAAGTAGATTTGTCAGCTGTTTATTGCAAACTGACTACAGCTGACCACCATACTTAAATATCTCCCGTATTGGACTGTCGGCTAACATACTTGCCTTTGGACATTTCCTCAAGAATCTTCAAAATTCATGTTTTATATGAATTAAGACAAATTATTTTGGCTTGTAGAAACTATAAGCCTAGTCACACATACACTTCTAAAAATAAGATTTCTGACATCCGGAATCCTGACATCCTTGCGGACTGCTGAAGCTTATAGGGAATCCAAATGTTTTGGATTGTTGGGTGTTTCTGTCTCTGCCTTTGTGAAGCGCTATGAGGCGATTTGTTGTTGTAAATATGCGCTATACAAATAAAATTGAATTGAATTGAATTGAATTGGAACTGGACACTAAGAGCACTAAGACGAATTACAAAAGAATGCATAGTTACTCCAGTAAGGTGCTTTCTCAGAATAGGCATATATTAGAGGGGGAATAAGAACGCCATTAATAAATATTGTCATATTAATACTTGTTTAAATTTTTAGATAGAATATGAAAGCAGTATCATCAGCTGTTTGGATACTAAGCTGAGATTCTAAGGCTATTTTAGATCAGTGTTTTGATGATATGGTCAAGTCTCTCTGCAGACACACAAAGGTGGCTTTAGCTGGTGAACATAATGGATTGTTTAGAAGCTAAGGGGATATTTTGCTCACTAGTTAGTGTCGACCAAATTACAAAAATTACTGCTAGACTTGAGACTGACTGGAAAGTTGTCCAGATGACGATTATAGACACCCTCCACAAGGAAGGTAGGCCACAGAAGGTCACTGCTCAAAACGCTGGCTGTTGGCAGGGTGCTATATCGAAGCATATTAATAGAAAGTTGACTGGTAGGGGAAAGGTGCACAAGCAACAGGGAACAGTCACACACGTGTGTGGCTGTGTGACTGTGTATATACATATACATTAATACATACACACACATTTGATGTTGTTAAAGACGTGAGCAACCTTGTCATGTTTTCTCTTGGTCAAAGCTATAGCCTCCTCCCATCACTAATGAGGATCTCTGTCATGAAGCTTAGCTCGGCCCAAGATCCTGACTGACATCTGCCCAGGAACAGATAGCAATCTGATGTCTGTTATCTACACTAACTTAACATCAATGCTGAAATTGAAAAAAAGACCAGAGGATTTTGAACATAGCCTTACCGAACTAATCAAAATCTGAGCACTCTGAGAACGAACAAGAAAATGTCGCAAAGAGCATTTCATCCTTCATCACCAACTTCATACCATTTGAAGATCAACTGACCTTTTACTCACCTGAACAATTCACAGTAACACCATGGGTAAACCTAGCACTAACTCTACACTGACCGCTTTGCTCCCATGTTACAGATGATGGCTGCATCACAGAGCAAAACAGTAACCAGCTGCAGCAGCTGCATTGTGAAGTATATTTTATTTGGAATGGTAAAATTAACTATTTACCTACACATTTGTGCTGTGGAAAGACCTGCTTGGACCTGGGCAATAAAACAATAGCAACATGGGCCAGCAATAGAAACTTCACCACAGTAATAAGAAAACAGTTTGACAGAATCATCTGTGGTTTCAATGAAATGTATTAAATGCAAACTGTCACAAAAGCACATGACAAAAATGCAAAGTTTGGTTGTATGACCACACTCCAAGCATGCTCTCTCCTTTGTTCATAAAGCCTGTCATACCTTGATAATGGACATGATGACACATAGTGTCACATGCATATAAAGGCAAGTTCCCATCTGATGATGTCCTGTCCAGGTCAACCACCCACTCTAAACCCGTAACCTCAGTTCAGTCATAGATTTACTATTCACATAATCTTCTTCATTTACTGGAAAAGCTACAAATGAAAAAGGGCTGCCATCGTTGCAGCAAATAACACCTATAAACCCTACCGTATACTGAATAAACTGATTAGCACTGCAAGTTTCCAAGCTTTACAGTAAATAAATTCATTATTGCTTCGACCTGTAATCCTTTTTGCTAACATCTTTGATGAGTCTTGTGGGTCTGTGACAGAGGACACCACAAAAGTGTACAGCAAATGTTTCATTGCCAGAGTCACATCACATAACAGTTGCCTTGGAAATAGTCAGCACCTCCAGTGTTATATAGAACACTCAGAAATACAAATAGTTTATTCTGAACTGAGAGAATGCCCACAATGTGTCATATGAACAAAATAAGGGCTTCTGATCTGTGTCAAACCCTGGCCAGAAGGTGGATTGTGAGGGATAGTTGGTTGACAGGCAGCACCCTGTTCATTTGAGTGGGGTAACAGAATCAGCTTTAGTGCAGCCTCACTGACAGTAGGGGGTGGAATCATTGTTAGTCATGCAAAGCATGAGGCAGGTGACCCAAACATAAGGACCGTCAGTGTGGCAAACACCAGATAAGTGATACAGTGAACCAATGAATGAAGAGGGCTGTCAGCAAACCCCCAGCAGCATTGCTTGGCTGAGAAGACTTTTGGTGCAGTAAGGACTGTCAGAACTGCAGGTGACATGACACTGTAGAACTTTTTACTGTTCACATTCATTACAGCCGGCAGTAAACCAAGCAGAATTAACAGAGCAGTACACCCCGGCATTTCTTTTTTAAGCCTTTGGGATGACTTGGGTCATCTTAATAGTTTGTTTCAAATACAAAAAAGCTGTATCAGCATGTCATTTTCACGTCATTCACATTAGCTAAGTTCAGCCAGATAAACACACCAATGTACACAAGTAAGAAGTAACAGAATATTTTCTCCTTTCTTAGAATAAAAAGACTGCCACATTCTAATACCTTTTCCACCTTTTAGTATAAAAGTAATTAAAGTAAAGTAATAAATAAAAATAAAAAGTATAACAATTCAATCGGAAAAAATATTCCTCTTCTGTACACAGTCGATGTGGGCCCTGTCTGACTAGTAGGTGTGACTGTCACATGAGGAGGATGGCATGAATTTGTAAAACCACTGACAACAGTTTAAAGACTGTAAAAGCATCATTGCAGTCTTTTTGATTTGCTGATTGCATTGTTTCAAATTGCATTTTCAATTTGTAATCACTTTATCACTGCCTCTTACTTGGCACTATCGTCGTTAACTAGTTTTGGGTCTAAAAGAAACTCTCATTACTCTTTGTTAGAAAACAACTGAAGGCAAGTAATAAGCATGTCATTATTTGGAATCTCTTGTAAACTACTGTGTAAGGCACATTTAAGAGAAAAGTTCACAAGGCAACTTTTCACCTTGAAAACACACCGTGAAAATGGAAAGACATGAACGAGGTTCTGGAGAACAACCCCAGAGAGAGCATAGGGCTGCTGCAGGCATCAACACATGTACACACAGACAGACAGACAGACAGAAAGAAAGACAGACACACAGACACACAGACACACACACACACACACACACACACTCACAGGCTGTATGTTGACTGAGTGGCAAGACACAAACACATTCACCTGTGGCCAGCGGGTTCCATATTCTCAGGACCCTTCCATAACACTATAAGACATATATTCATTAAATAACACAGTACAAGTGTTCTTCCAGAAGGCTTTGAGAAGTCGTTTGTTGACTAACCTGTTAAACCTATGACCAAAAAGTTCAATGATTAAAAGTTTTCAGTCCTTTTTCAAATGGATACCTAAAGTGTGAGGCCACTTTCCAATACATCCACAGTAAAGCAAAGGGGTTCAGTGGAAGTACTGCTCTGGTTGTTTTGTTTTGAACTAAGCTGCTCTACTATCAGCCAGGTTCACACCGTTTGGAGCCTCGATGCCTAAAACAATGCAATAAAAAGTATTCAGAATCTGTGGGATGTGTGTGAGTGTGTCCTTCTCCAACCTTTAATCTTGACAGTCGGAGAGTTTGGTCCAGCAGACTGTTTCCTCCATCCCCTCCAGTTCTGACACAGACTCTCGGCCTCGGAGATGAAGGAGCACAGAGAGTCTTCCTCAAACCGGTCCGAGTCTTCAAAAGAGAACCTCTCCCCATCCTCCCACTCGGCGAACATCAGTTCCATTACATCCACTTTTTAAGTGCTGCGGAGTCCAGAGGACTGCGACTTGAGGCCACGGTGTTTTTTCGGTCTAAAAATCAAGGGAAGCCTGGCGAACAGTGTCCAACACTCGAGGAGAATCAGGAGTCTGAAGACTGGGGGAGGGGAGCTTACTAGCGACCAAAACACAGCTGAGAGGCTTACCGCCGGGCCCTCCGGCTCGGCTCCATGACACACTGACCAAGCTCGACTAGCACGGCCAAGGGACGCCCGAACTTCTTCAAGAGCTGCGATCCGATATCCCCACAACAAGTACTAGTTATTCAGAAGTGTTCAACATGCCCTGCCCATTTACAGCTCCTCACAGCCATACACCTGGACAGAAGCTCCTCTCGTCTGTCGGACCGGACTTTAGAGCTGTAGCTGAGATGAGCCAAACTCAGCAGCTAACAGCGTCGCTGTCAAACAGTCTGAAGAGAAGAGAAACTAAACACGAACATGTCCAGTCCCTCACTGTACAGCTAACAACACGGACACACAGCAGATCTCCTGGCCAAGGTATGGATGTGATTAAATAGTCCAGAAGTCATGAAGTTTCCTTCATCCTACTCTCCTCGGCAATGAGCTGACCTGCTCCAGATATCCACATTAACTATTCTACCATCACAGTAACCCTAAAAGTGAAGTGTTTAAATGGAGACGATGTTAAAGCACACCTAGCGCCAGATATGACCCTGGTCTAACGTGCTGCTTGAAATTATATTACACTGGACTGCTAATGGGAATAACAATTAGCCGACGTTAGCTGCGAGGCTATTTTTGTTAATAACTGCATACTAGGATAACATCAATACGTGTCATCAGCTGCTGATAAGTATATTGACGTGTAATATGGTTTTCAAGCCGACGACAGGCTTGTTCAGATCGGTTTACCTTCGTTCTACTTTAGTCTACTAGCTGTAGCACTGGGATGCTAACCTGCAAACGGCTAACTTCGGCTAGCTTCATTAGCTGTTTGTTTACATGTACCGGCGGTGCTGTACAGTGTTCGCACTGTTACCAACTACATGCTGATTTATAATTGCCTATCCTCTGGACTAATGCATCTATCTAGGTTACATTCGCTTCATATTTGGATATTAATCCCCGCTCGTAGCTATGTTTTCCGTTCTTTGCATAAGTACTAGGGGTTTCTGTCTGACGTTAAAAGCTGGTATATTCCTCTGTCAGATCCGATGAAAAAAACAAAACAAATTAGTCCTTCGAATTTTTATCCTTCGCGACTGACACCGGCTGTCCTGGCGTCTAACGATCTATGTCTTCAAATGACAGTGGGAGCCACATATAATTTCCTGTGTCCCCCTCGTCTAGGCTCTATCTGAGGATCAGTCTGCCGGGGGAAGATGGCTCACCTCGTTCACAGCTCCTCCTCCATCAGCTGATCACAGCTTCCGGCTGCCAGCTCTACAAAGACGGCGATTCAGACACATATTGATTCAGCTGGAAAACACTTCAGTTGGGCGAGTGGTGGTCAAACTCAATACACCAAGCATACTGTCATATAGGATGTACTGACAGTTCAAATCTGATATTGACTATTTAGATCCTTCATATTCAGCTAACCTCTGACCTCCAACAGTCCTGGTGTCATTAACAGCAGAGCTTGTGGCCACATGGAGGCACACTGCATTAAGGACTTACTGTGTAATAGGCATCTGTGAACAGAGGTGGAAGAGCTTGTCAGATCCATTACCTAAGTGAAAACAGAAATACCACAACGGGAAAACAATCTATTTTATAATTGTAACATTATTAACAAAATATACTTAGAAGCCAAAAGGAAAATTAGTTATTCAAAGTGAAACCTGTCCTCATTTTGTGAAATGGAAGTTAGAACATTTTTCTTTGCTTGGTCTACATTGATAGGATTAGGTTTGGCGAAGGGATACTATGTTCAGGCCAACTCATGCTTTCCGTGTCCACAAAGGTCTGCATGGCTACTAGGCTGTATATAGATTCAAGGGCTTCAGAAGACAAAATTTAAGTCATGCGGATGCTAGCACTCGCAAACATATAACAGTGCTCTTAGGCAAAAAGCCTTGATTATACTTACTTTGTTGGACATGCACACAGCTGCAGCACCATAGATGCATAGTTGTTATTCGGCCAGTGTTATACTTTCTGTGTCCGTTAGTAGGCTAGTCTGCGACAGTCCATCCCTTCACAGATGTTCATGTGCAGCCCCAAAACAAACAAAAAACTAGCAGGGCTGCTTACATAATGGTCAAAATCCTTTGCAAAATCTGAAATTTTCAGTATGATAGATTTGTTTTGGTTGTTTACCGTAGTGAAGTAGATTTGGAAAACAGTAACACCCAAATAGCAGAAACAGAGGAGACAGCCAAATTGAAATTGGGGCACGATTAGCTTCCGAATCACAGTTTAGGATTCAGCATGTAAGGGAAACGTAGATAATGACGTAAATAAAACATTTCATGTTAAGAGTCTAACTCTATCCACATGTGCCCTGTTGTGCTTGCAGCAGTGAGGGGTACTTTTTGAGTTCCACCAAAGCAAGAAGTTGGGCTGTAAAGCGATATGCAGTCACCTGAAAAGGAGTGACTGTAAATGCTAAGGACATTTTTGAGCATAACACACCCTCCAAATGACTGTCATCCATTCTTTCAAGAAAAACTAATAACTAATGACATTTGGAAAACCTACAAGAGCTGTAAAATTAATTAATTTAAACTCATGCTTCATGGTCATAAATTCACTTTTGCACTATCTGGTTTTCTTTTTCAGTGTAAATCCTGTTATTACTTAATTATTGTTATTTTCTTGTACTTTCTTTCTATATTTTTGGATGCTGCTGTGGCGTGTAAATTTCCCCCAATGGGGGATCAATAAAAAAAATTATTTTATTCTATGCTGGTGACAGCAATAGCCAGAGACATTATGATTTGTATGTCCATTCATCTTATTCTTGTGAACTTAGTATTTTTTGAACATCTTGATGTAATTTCTTCAAATTTCACGCAAATATTCACAGGGACCTAATTGATTGGATTTTGATGGTCAACGGCCATGGTTACTATGACCTCACAAAAAACGTGTCTGGGAACAAACCAAGCTACTTATGACAACATTCTACAACTGTGTAGTTATGAGCTGACTCCACAGATGAGTTGTCTTTAGGAAAGACCATTCTCACCCTGCTCACCCCCTGTTCACCTCCCTCCGCTCAGACAGACTCAGAACCATCCACACTTGGTCAAACAGACTGAGGAACAGCTTCTTCCCCAGGGCTGTGGAGGGTCTGAACTCATCACTTTAAAAATGTGCAATAACTGAACAATGGACACTTTATAAATGCACCTTACCTTACTGTACACCATGGCATTCCTGCTGCTAATGTGTATATACTTTTGTATTTATTAGATTTTATGTATATGTGTGTGTGTGTGTGTGTGTGTGTGTATATATATATATATACATACATCCATCCATCCATTATCTGTACACTGCTTATTCCTACAGTCTATCCCAGCTGATTCAGGGGGAAGGCAGGTTCACCTGGACAGGTAACCAGTCTATCACACGGCTACACAGAGAGACAGACAACCAAGCACACTCACATTCACACCTATGGACAATTTAGAATCACCAATTAACTTTAACATGTTTCTGGACTGTGGCAGGAAGCCGGAGAACCCGGAGAGAACCCACGCTGCACAGGGAGAACATGCAAATTCCATGCAGAAAGATCCCAGGTGTCTTCACCGGGACGCAAGCCGGGGATCTTCTTGCTGTGAGGCCACGGTGCTAACCACTGAGCCACCTTGCAGCACTGAGGTATATATATGCCCACTACAACTCATGCTGCCACTGTAAGAGATTGCAAATGGAATTTCATTGTATTTTCATGTACACTGATAATAAAGGCATCTTTAATCTGTAATAGAATAAAATGATAACATGATGACATGTTAGATTCAGAAAATCTATGATTGCTTCAGTGTGACATTATAATGCCATAATAATCGTAGCACTTTTTTGACGATTATTCAATGGCATAACTCCGAAACAGAGGATTAGATTGTGACTATATTTCATTTTTGGTCAAATACTGAATTTGTGACATTTATTTTTGGGTGCCCATGCAATAAATTCCTTCAAACTCTTTAGAACAGATATTATATGAGTCGGTATAGACATGGATGTAAATTGCAACTTCTCTGCTTTGTCCTTTAGTTTTGTTTGATTGCTAACCTGCCAGCCAGCTTTGGGCCTCTGTTTTCTGCATCTTCAAGTCTGTCTGGGTCCTCGTTCCTGGTCTCCTGACACAGCGTGACAGCCAATGACCCCTGGGTGGCTCATCCTCAGGGCCCTCTACTGTCCCTCATGTTGCTCCTCTTGAGATGACCACTCATCCAGTTCTCTGCCGTGTAGCTAAATTCAGTTTGCAGTGGGCTAAATTTCCTGGCAAGTTCTGTAACTTTCAGGTCATCCGTTGGAGTCTTTGCATGTGGGCAAAAGCTTTGACCGCTTGTTCTGTTGCCTTTAAGTCTTCCTGCACTCCAACTTGAAATCACCACCATCATGTCATCACAATCAATTTCTGCCTCAGTTGACTTTCTATGCCTCCATGCTAACAACAGCCATGACCATCGGAATTATTTGTTTGGGTTGTTAATGTGTCCCATTCTCTAAATGCAGCACCTCTTGAATGGCTTGAAGGAATTTCTCGAAATGTGGGACAAATGTTCACTTCAACTCAAGGACGTACTCATTTGCTCTTGTTGGTCAAAAGTCAAGGTCAATGTGTCCTCAAAAAATTTGTTTTGGACATAACTCAAGAATTCTTGCACTACTGATGACAAAATTTTATAAAGATCTCTGATAGGATAAAATGATGGGATGATGAAATTGTATGTCCAAAGGTCAGCTTCACTGTATCATTGTAATGTTTTGCAAAAACTCTTTTCTGACCATTATTAAACACAATAACTCAGGAAAAGAGGGAGAGACGGATGCAAACTGCAACTTGATCAATTGGAGGAGGCATACAAACATGAGATGGGAATGCAAAATGTCACTGCCAGGCATCCAGGCTGTCAGGTATAGCGTGGCCCACTGTCTGGCCTCTCATACCCCTTTTCCACCAAAGAGGTTCCAGTGCTAGTTCCGTGCTCGTGCCTGACTTGGCACCAGTTCTTTGTGTTTCCACCACCTAAGCACTGGTTCCAGGCTCTCAAAACTGGTGCTTCGCAAGTACCAACTCTTTGCTGGACCAGAGTGAAGCACAGAGTACATCAGGGGCTGGGGACGGGGTTATCATGACCAATGAGACTGATGAATGGGACACACAAGCAGTGATTTGTGTCGTTTTTTTGCCAGGACATCTCTGGTCCGATCACAAATATATTGGAATGAGGGATACAAGTAAGTTTTGCACAAACTGTTGCGCCCTGAAATCTAGTACAATTGTGTCCCATGCAGAAGACTGCTGTCTGCATTTAGCAATTTAGACAGTAATGCCTTCCCTGTTACACATTTTATATATCGGTATGATGTGCTGACATTCATTAAGATGAACATAAAACTGAGAGAGCACAAACAACAATCTGCAGAATAAATTTATTGGTGACAACAGTATTGTAAAAAGGAAAAACAAGAGCAGAGAGGAGACACATTGATGTAGAAAAAATATGTCAATACATCCATCTATCTGTTATCTATAATCCTCATTGGGGAGGGGGGGAGGAGGGGAGGGGGGGTGCATGGAGTCTATCCCAGCTGAGTTAGGGTGAAGGCAGGTTCACCTGGACAGGTAACCAGTCTATCACAGGGCTACACAGACAGACAGACAGACAGACAGACAGACATGCACACTCACATTCACACCTATGGACAATGTAGAATCATCAACTAACCTCAGCATTTTTTTTTAACAGTGGGAAAAAGCTGGTGTGAAAGCATGCAATCCTCACAGGGAGAACATTCAGACTCCACACAGAAAGATCCCAGCGTCCTAACCGGACGCAAACCAGGGATCGCGTAGATGTGAGGCGACGGTGCTAACCACCGAGCTACCGTGCAGCCTAAAAAGGAAGGTAAAGAAAACAAATAAATAGTTTAATGGAGTTGTGTGATTGAATCCTGTTTTCATATACCCCTTTTCCACCAAGAAGCACCTGGTGCTAGGGTCAGTGCTTAGTTGGTTCAAATCTAAGAACCAGTTGCTTTTTCATCAGCAAGGAGCAAAGTTAGAGCCGCACCATATGTCACTGCATAAGCAGCCGTTTACCAAACAACGCTCACACCACATGGAAGCCCACAAAGGACTCCAGACTAACTTTTTTTTTTCTTTTTTTTTACCGGTGTGACCAACTTTCTCATTTGT